AAATAGAATGCAGAGATTTTTGATAAGAGAGACATTTTCAGGATGGCAGCCTGTAACTAGAGTACCACCACGGGATCAGTGCTGGAGCCACAATTATTTACAATTTTTATTAAAGATTTGGATGAGGAAAGTGAATGTACTATAGGCAAGATTGTGGATGATATGAAAACTAATGGGAAGGCAAGTGGTGAGGATGACACAGAGTCTGCAGAGGGATGTAAGTTAAGTGAGTGGAAGATGGATCTTTTTGCCTTTAGTCATTCTCAGGATGAGGGCATTGCTTTTAGGCAGCATTTGCCATCCCAGTTGCTGTAGGCCAGACCAGGTAAGGATGGTAGTTTCCTTCCCTAAAGGACATTAATGAACCAGATGGGTTTTTCTGACAATCAGCAACGGATTCATGGTTATCACTAGATTCTTAATTCCAGGTGTTTTTTTATTGAATTCAAATTCCACCATCTGCTGTGACAGGATTCGAATACAGAATGTTATCTTGGTCTCTGGATTAACAGTCCAGTGATAATACCACCAGGCCATTGCTACCCCTAAATATACTACAATTTGGGAAAATGTGAGGTTATACACTTTGGCAGGAAGACGAGGCACCGCATTTTATTTAAATGGATAAAGACCACAGAAAGCTACAGATTTGGGTGTCCTTGTGCATCAATCACAAAAAGCTGGCATCCTAGTTCAGCAGGTAATTGGAAGGCAAATGGAATGTTGGTTTTTATTTCAAAGGGAATGGAGTGTAAAATAAGGAAGCCTTGTTAAAACTACACAAGGCACTTGTCACACCACAGCTGGAATACTGTAAACAATTTTGTTCCCTTTATCTTGGGAAAGATATACTGCCATTAGAGGCAGTTCAGACGAGGTTTACTAGGTTAATCCCAGGTATGAAGGGACTGTCATATGAGGAGAGGTTGAGTAGATTGGACTTGTACCCATTGGAATTTAAGAGGAGGAGAGGCAATCTTATTGAAACATACAAGATTTTTAGGGGACTTACAGGGTAAATGCAGAAAGATTGTTTTCCATTGTGAGAGAGTCTGGGATCAGAGGGTATGATTTCAGAGTAAGGGGTCACCTATTTAAGACAGACATGAGCAGAAGCTTTTCTGAGATAGTGAATCTGGAATTCCCTACCGGAGAGGGCTGTAGATGATGTGTCGTTAAGGCTGTGATACATTTTCCATCCATAAGGGAGTCAAGGGTATGGTGAAAAGACAAGAAAGTAATAATCCCATTGAATGGTGGAGCAGACTCAATGGGTTGAATGAACTACTTGTGCTCCTACATTTTATTAAGTTGAAAGGTCCTTGGAGTAGGAGAGGCTTTAATAAAGGTTCTGCCACAACAGACAGCTGTCTTCATAGATATTTACTTAAAATATTGTCAGAGTCCATTATCTTTAGAGCTGCCTATGCGGAATTATTAAAATGTACAGTATTTGTTTAGGGATGTCCAATGTCTCTTCTAAAAGGGGTAAAGGCTTCTGAGAGAACAGGGACATGAATGTATTTCAAAGTAACTTCAACATGAGTAGTGTTTTTGTCTGGCAGAACAATGGCTCATTTGATGTCAACATTGTTTCACAACCAATGCAAAGTGACTGCTCAGTTTGTGAAGGTCACTTTGGTGCAGGACATCTAGGAAGAACACAGAGTTACCATCAGAGAGGGTTCTTTGCCTAGTGAGCACAAAGAGGAAGGAACTCAGAAATTAACTGCAGTTGTGCCAAAAGAATCCAGCCAATCTGCAGGTGCTGTAATTGCAAAACTAATGAAGAACAAGAAACCTCTCTCCCAAAACCTTCCAAGTCAACCTTAGCCTGTACAAGTGGACTATTTTGATGATAGAAGCCATTGCAGCTGCTTTGGAAGGAGAAACTTCAAGAAGCATAAGCTGCTATGATCTTAGAGACTGATCTTATATTCATCTTTAAAGGTATCTTTTGTACTTTACTGACTTTTTCTATGTGTATCATCAGCTTTTACATGTTGTTATCTGACCTACTGAGTTGTCAGTCAGACAGCAAAATTTGTCAAAATAATTGACTAAAAGGATATAGTCACATGCTCCCCAAAGAAACAACCAATAAAATTCTGGAATGTGTTTATCTTATTGTTCTGCTTACTGGTCCTGCTTACAGTATATGTGCTACATAATATGACAATAGGTTTGAATGTGGGATGTTGCCTTTGCTTATTAATCCATGCATTTTTGCTTGCAATTCAAAGACAGACAAGGAATTACTTGTTAAATCAAGACTTTAATTATAGGCATTAAGGAATTACACATCACAGTAATTTGGTGAATAGGAAAACGAATTGCAAGTATTTACATCTAAAATTCACGTCACATATTCTGACATGCTAACACGATATATACAGTAAAACCCCACGATATATTTTTACCAATGTGCCCTTGCTGGTCCCCTTATAATATCAATAAGGGGCAATTCTGTAATAAAAGAATGGAGTTGAGTTAATCTCTTAAGAGTACAATTGAACCTAACCATGGGTCTGGCAAAAGGTTATTTACCATTATAATCAAGTGCTTTTGTTTAAACCTCTACCCATCCCTACCCCAGCCTATAAAACCAATTTGCTTTTAAGAATTTTCCCTTGGCGCTCATGAAGATTGGCTGAAAATCATTCTATCATGCTGGCCAGCCATCTTTTGCCAAAGCAACAAGCTAGGCAGAGGCTGGCTCTGAATACAGCTCTCCAGTTCCTACCATGTTTTCCCCAGCCAGATTCATGTGGTTAATGTTTGCAGTTACTAACTTTCTGGCCCAAGCCAATCACAGCCCTGGGTGTGCAGTAAAGAGCCATTAAAAGTTACAGAACGTTAGTGCTACAGAAAAACCTTTTACACAACAGTTCAACCCCTTCGTCCCTCTCCTTCTGCCCTTTCCTTAAAATTCATAAATACACAGCATTCAAAAGGGAAGGTCTGTACAAGGAGCAAGATTATTTGGGCATTGACATGGTCCAATAGAGACAGACACAATTTGGAAAGGGGAGAAACAGCTTCACATCACTGTGCGATAATGCTGACAAGTCTTAAATCAGAGCAACCCATGGTTACAACAGGCAGTTTAAACTCCATCATTTCAAACATTGCTGCTGTACAGAAAAACGGGACTTTAAATTACAAGGCTCACAAAAATACATCTGGCATGCTTTAGTTACAGGACACACTCCAGGGTTTGTGTACTGCGAAGAAAGCACTGCAATAGCTTGGTAAATATTAAATAAGAACGATGCCTTTTAAGAGACATGTTACTGTTATACATCAAGATGTAATTTTTACTTTACAAATTCTTTTCACACTTCATTTTCTTTTTCACACAATCCCCAGTGGAACTCAACTTATGAACAGAAATTAAGGTTGAACAAAAAAATGAATTAATTTTGTACTTTTGAGATTAGATTTCTCATCTTGCAAAACATCCCAAGTGGAAACATTGAGTAAATATTTGAAGGTGCTGACCACACACAGTACATAAATGCTGGCAGGTGAGCCCATCTCTCCTGCAGTATTGAAGATCGAGATGAATGTGTCTGATAGTTCACTACTTTAGTAGCCCTTTCAAATTTTCCCTGACCATCACATGTCTCCAAGTGAAATCCCAAAATATTGGGTAGTGGCTGGCATATGTTTGAAAATTTCACTGGCCACCCCTCTTTTTTTTTTTACTCCCTTACCCTAGGGGGAGAATAGCACAGTAGCAGCCTAAAGACTGGCCCATCATCAGAATACAGAATAGTGTTTTTGAAAAGAGGGATTCACTAGAATTTTATACTTCAGGCCACTCAGGAGTGGGTGTTCAGCAAGTTCTCTTCCCCACTCCTAACAACTATCAATCAACAGTAAGTTAGATATGAGAATACTGAATGATATATGTATAGATACAGTAACTTTTCAATTCTTTTCACGTTTTGTAACAAATTTTAGCTTTTTTAAATCAATACCTATGTTATCCCTTTCTGAACAAATGTTTAGCACGTCTCTTGCTTTATTTACAGCTTTCTCTCAATAGCACACTTTGATCTACATTATCTTACACCTCTGCTATAACATTAAACCATCAGCTCAATTGTTAATAAACACTGTAAAACACCTTCAGAACCTAGCTCTAATTCTTTTATTCATAGATAAACTGTCAAAAACTTGCGTTAGCACAGTGATCATTTAAAATACGAATTATGTATAGCTCCCTAACTGTTGTAAGGATTCTTTTACATTGCAATGCATCTTCAGGTATATGAAATCCATGAGGCCAAACACATCCTGAGTTCCTACATAAGCCAGACGGTATGGACCATGTTACATCATTGATATGGAAAGTATCATTTCTGTGTTTAAAATGGCAGTAAGCACAAATTACCCCAGTGAAAACTGCAGATGGTTCTCTGCACGTAAAGAACAAATAAACATTGAGCTAGTGGAAACTGGAGTGACTAACGGCGAACTTTTTACATTCACTCATGAAGCTGTACCAGCCATATAATTTTTAAAAAAATTCTTTCATAGGGTGTGGGTGTTGCTGGCTAGTTTGGCATTTATTGCCCATCCTACTTGTCATTGAGAAAGTGGTGATAAACTGCAGCAGTCCTTGTGAGACAGGTTCAGAATGCTGTTGGCAAGGGAGTTCGAGGTTATTGATCCTGAGAGTGTGAAAGAATAGCAGTGTAGTTCCAAATCAGGATGTTGTGGCTGGGATGAGATCTTGAGGGTGGTAGTACTCCCATGTATGTGCTGCCCTTGTCCCTCTAGGTGCCAGAGGTCACACAGGTTTGGGAAGGTGCTGTTAAAATAGCCTTGGTGAGTGGCTTCAGTGCATCTTGTAGGTGGAACACACTGCTGACATTGTGTTGGTAGTGGAGGGAATAGAAATTGGAGGTGGTGGATGTGATGTCAGTCAGACAGGCTGCTTTGTTCTGAATGATGTCAAGCTTCTTGAGTATTGTTGGAGCTGCACTCATCTAGGTAAGTGAAGAATGTTCCATCACACTCCTTATTTGTGCTTTGTAGATGGTGGAAAACTCTGGGGAGTCTAAAGGTGAGTTACCTGCTATAGGATACCTGGCCTCTGAACTGCTTTTGCAGCCACAATTTTTGGCTAGTTCAGTTTAGTTTATGGTCAATGGTAACTCCCAGATAGAGAGATTCAATGATGGTAATGCAATTGAATTGTAAAGGAGTGATGGTTAGATTTTCTCTCGTTGGAGATGGCCATTATCTGGCACTTGTCTAATGTAAATGTTAATTGCTAATTGTTGGCCCAGGAGTGGATACTGTCAGATCTTTCTGTGCACAGTATTCTGGTTCCTATGGAGTTGTAAACATCCCAGGTTCTGACATTAGTCATTGATAAAGCAGCTGTATATTGATGGTTAGGCTGAGAACTATACTGAGAAACTCCTGTAGCGATGTTTTGGGATTGAGAGGGTGGCCCATAATAACCACAGTCACTTCCTTTGTGTTAGGTATGATTCCAATCAATGGAGAGTTTTCCCACTGACTCCTGTTTTGTTAAGGCTTCTTAATGCCACACTTATTAAGTGCTGCCTTTATGTTAAGGGCAGTCTCTTTACTTTTTAGTTCACCTGTTTTGTCCATGTTTGGACCAAGACTGTAATGAAGTCAGGAGTTGAATGGACCTGGCAAAATCCAGACTGAGTTTCAGTGAGCAAGTCATTTCTCTACAGTTGTCACTTCAAAAATGAATACGTTTGGTATGGTAGATGCTGCTATTGACATTTTAAAATCACACTAATCCATTCCATCAGAATTTAGCTGAGTCCAAAAAAAAGCCCAAAAATTAAACAATGGTCAACTTTTTCATTTTGTGAATTAACTGGACCCATATTATTAATAAAGATTTAACCTGAAGTTTTTCAGCACTAAAATCTTAAGCCCAAAGAAAATTCAATGCTGACTTTAGATGTATCCTACCTGAACAGAGGAGGGGCTATTGTATGCTACTTCAGTATTGGATGTACATTCCTGACATTGGTTTGGTACACTTCTGTCTGATGTATGATACTCAGGATGTATGATACCTCAGTGACATTTTAACCCATGATTCTTAGTAAAGGTGAAAAGTCAGTGGAAGACCTGGTAAGGAGGTATATCAAATGCTTTGACCAGAATATCGAGAAAGGAAAAAAAGAGGAGACACATGATTTTAATGAAATCACTAATATTCTTAAGGGTTCACAACTCTCTCAATCATCAGATGCCTCATTCATTCTATACTTTGCGAGTAATCAAAGTGAAGTGTGTGATTGCAACAGAAAGTTTTGAACCTGAAGGGTTGAGGCCTTTTCAGAACAGTGCACCATATGGGGACCTCCAACTGCAAATGCAATCAGAGAGCAGCTAGGCTGTAAATAAACATGCCTTTCTTCTCACTGAAACAAAGTATTAGTCCAAAGTAAATAGTTTCTCAAAGAAATGTAATCCGTTTACAATAAACAGAGGTGGCTGACACCCGTAGGATGAACCAGTGAACACCTTAATTTTGAGCCCTTTTTGTGGCCTAGTCTTGATTGATGCCATGTTCCCATGGTACCTTGGCCTGCTCTTCTTTGCCACTGTGACCAGACTGAGAGAGTTTGCGTGTGAAAGCCTTTGGCCTGCTCTCTTCTTCAGGTGTTTCTTCATTGTCTTTGTATGTTGGTCTGGGATAATATGGTTTGGGGGGCAAAGCTGGTATCTCTGTGGACTCCTTTGGAATGACTCCAGTGGGAGCAGAGTGACTACGGCATGGGTGAGCTTTCACTGATTCAATGACATCTGGTTCAGATAGGCTGTACCTTACTGGTATGTAAGGGGCTTCCCCATCCTCCTCTGGGTTCCAGGTCTGACTGGAATCTGTTGTGTCTGTACGTGGTGGCTCCGTTGACTGGCCAAAGTTGCTTTCACTCAGAGAGGACACCCCGCTGCTTGCGCTGCCAGACAGAGTGGAGTTACTGCCATCAAGACCTGAGTGGGGGCTTGTAGGTGATGCAGGAATTGGGTGTAGCGAAGACTGTGATTGTATGTGTGCGTGTGGGAGAAGGAAGGGAAAACAGGAGGAAAAAAAGTTAATATTCACAGTTCTTTCTGTTACAATTAAGGCTCTTTCAACTCATAATACATTGTTCAGGTGGAACATTCTAGCCAGGTGATTGTTCCATGCTAGTTGTCAGTGACAAAATGAAATTAGAGCAATGACATTGAATGTCAGTACTGTTTAACTGTCCAGAAAATATTTATAGTCAAATCTGATCTAACAGTTTGCTGTAGGATCACTGGGTAGCAATCGGGAAGAACATGTCAAGGCTGATTTTCCCTTTCCTTCATGTCATATATTAAGGGTAACTGTTCTGGTGCTATCGTTCCTCTAACTGAGACCAGCTACTTCAACACCACCGAAAACGAAACCATCTTGACTAGATAATTAAAAGACACAAAGGATCATAACGTTTACCACTGACCAGTCAAATCACTTAGAACAACTGCCAGAGAAGCAGGAAGTTATCTTAATGCCCTGGCCACTTCATATCCCTCAACAAATATGACTACATAGATACTGGTCATTATCATGTTGTTTGTGAAGTTACTATGGCTGTGTAATGTTCACCTACATTATGATAGTGGTTGCACTTCAAAATACTTTGGGGTGTCTTGGCTTTCAAAAGCCACAATATAAAATCCAGGAAATAAAGCTCTATTTTGTCTGTTAATTCTTTAGTTTAATTCTTTTCTTTATCTATTTATAAGAAAACTGTGTCTCATATTAATACCATCTGCAGGCGGTGCAAACAGCATGCAGTCCTCGAGAATGGCAGTGCAGGGAGAGAAGTTCTTCAGATTTTTGAAGGATTTTTAAAAATAAAAATTGAAGCACAAGATGGAGAAACGGAGGCTAGTGGCTCCATTCCTCCTCACCCCACCCCCCAACTCATGTGGGCCTTCTCTCGCAACAACTCTCGTCACTGGCCTTTGACCCTGCTTGCTGAATGAACTGAGGGCATTGTTGCTACGTTCTGCAGATGACAGAAAGAAAGGTGGATGATAGAGTTGAGGTAGCAGAGAGGCTGCAGAAGGACTTGGACAGGCGAGGCGAGTGAGCAGAAATGTACTGCTTAGACTACTTAAAATTCTGGTCAGACTGAATTTAGAATATTGAGAGCGGTTTTGGGCCCCAAATCTAAGGAAGGATATGGTGGCATTGGAGTGGGAAGCGATTTACAACAATGATCCCAGGGATGAAGGGCTTATCAGATGAGTGGTTGAGGATACTGGGTCTGTATTAATAGAGTTTAGAGGATGAGGGCAGGGGGGGATCTGATTGAAACTCTCAGAATAATCAGAGGCCTGGATGGAGTGGATGCAGAGAAGATGTTTCCACTAGGAGAGACTAGGACATGAGGGCAGAGCCTCAGGAATAACCCTTTAGAACGGAGATGAGGAATTTCTTCAGCCGGAGGATGGTGAATCTGTAGAACACATTGCCATAGAGGGCTGTGGAGGCCAAATTATTGAGTGCATTTGAGATAAATAGGTTCTTGATTGGTAAAGTGATCAAGGGTTATGGAGATGACAGGAGAATGGCGTTGAGAAACATATCAGCCATGATTGAATGACAGAGCAGACTTGATGGGTTGAATCGCCTAATTTTGCACCCATATCTTACGGTCTCACGCTGCGGCCGGGCCTTTGTCTCCCTGACCCCCATCCTCATTATAGCATCACTATATGTGATGAAGTCATCAGTGCAAGTGCAGATACTTCTGACAGCCTGTCCTATTGCAGCCAGCTGATAAAACCATAAGAAATAGGAACAGGAGTAGGCCATTCGGCCGTTAAGCTTGTCCTATTCAGTAGGATCATGTCCACATTCCTGCACTTTCCCTGTAACCTTTGATTCCTCCTACTGATCAAGAATGTATCTATCTCTGCCTTAAATATACACACTCTGCTCCTACAGCTCTCTGTGGCAAGGTGTTCCAAAGGCTTTCAACCTTCTAATAGGTTAAATTCCTTTTTATCTCAACCTTAAATTGGCGCCCCTTTATTCTGAACCATGTCCTGTGGTCCTTGACTCTCCCACGAGGGGAAACATTCCCTCAGTATTTAACCTGCCAAGCCCCTTAAGAATCCTATGTGTTTTAATGAGATCACCTCATTTTTCTAAACTCCAGTGAGTAGAGTCCTAACCTGTTTAGTGTATTCCCAGAAGACAATTCCTCCATACCAGGGATCATATCCTAGTGAACCTTCTCTGAACCACCTTGAATGAAATTATATTTTCCCATAAATAAGGCGACCAAAACTGTTCACAGCACTGCAGATGTGGTCTCACCAGCAGCACTTTGTACAATCGCAGTAAGGCTTGTTGTCTCTTTCAAATGAAAATCTTTGCATTTTCCCACATTATACTCCACTTGTCAACTTTTTGCCCACTTACTTAACCTATCAATATCTCCCTGTAGACTGTTTGTACCCTTCTCACAACCTGCCTTGCTACCTATTTCTGTGTTGTCTGCAGATTTGGCTACAGTTCATTCATTTCCTTCCTCAAGTCATTAATATATATTGTAGTTGTGGTCTAAGTGGTGATCCCAGTGGAACCCCACTGGTAATGGAACACCAATTTGTAAAAGAACCTCTTACCCCCACGTCTGGAAGTCCAAATACACATATCTACTGGTTCCGCTCTATCCTCTCTGGTTGAGACTTTCCTGAAAAAACTGCAATAAATTTGTCAGGCATGATTTCCCTTTCATGAAACCATGCTAACTCTGCTTGATTAGATTATGATTTTCCAAATATTCTGCTGCGGCTTCCTTAATAATTGATTCCAATACTTTTCCAACAATAGATGTTAGGCTAATGTCAAGGGCTGTGTCTGTACATGTGCTGTGGCCGTTTTGGTATTATGGATAATTACTCCATTACCTTAATTAGATTTCAGTATCACAGCTAAAGTTCACAAATGCTCCCATGGAAAGATTAATTCATCATTGAACAAATGTTTCTCTTTTTTGGAGTTGCCCAAGTTAACATTGACCAATTGTACAATACTTACTTTGCGTAGGGTTCGTGCAGGCAAGGCAGGTGGTATATCACTGATCTGATGATGGAAGGGATCAAAATTCATAGTAAAATGACCTATGCAAACAAAAAGAAGATTTCATGAATATCAAACCATCAGCCTTATCATTATCATTAACCTTAATTATTTCCATTATTACCATCTTCACCATTACCAGAAAAAAATTACCAACATCATAACCTGCAATCTTCAAATTTTACATCACGAGAGGAAGTTCTGCCCATTGACTTGACACTGACGCCCAAACAGCTACCCTGTTAATCTATTCCTGTGTTTTTTCCCTTTTCAAATATTTATTCATTTTCTCTCAAAATGTAATTTTAACAGTCTCTCCTGCTTCCCTCAGCCCCCATTGTTTCCAATTTTTTCCAAACTTCCCCCTCCCTTGTTCCAGTCTCCTCTCATAAAAACCTCACATTCCTGGCGCCGTCTTTAACAATTCTGTTTTGTATGTTCCATGTTTTGACTGCCTTCCTATATCAGAGTACTGAAAACACAACACCATATTCTACTTAGTGTTACTTTTCTGTTTCTGCACTCTAAAAAACTTTTAAAAATGAAATTATTGATTCATCTTCCCTTTTTAAAGATTTCTTTGATCTTTTCGGTTTTTAAAATTTTAACAATTCAGTATAATCTTCTTCCTTTTCCTTCCAAAATGTTTCCTCTAAGTAGTTGCTTATATCTGACATCTATTTACCCAATTTGCCTGCTTTCAGAAACAAAAACAGAAGTTGCTGGAAGAGCTCAGCAGGTCTGGTGGCATCTGTGAAGAAAAAATCTGAGTTAACTTTTCGGGTCCGGTGACCCTTCCTCAGAACTGTTGCTTTCAGAAGCTGTTCTGTTCAGGGTTAACCATGATGCCTATTTTGATATTGACTGAAAGTATTAATTTTACACCTCTTCTGCAAATGCAGGAAATCTGAATCACCAGTAGAAAACAGCAGACTAGGGAGCATTTATGGAAGGAGAAAGAAAAGTTGGATATTTTACGTTCGGTGATCTGCTTAGTGTTTCTTGCATTTTCTTGTTTCTGTTTATTTTAGAACACTCACATGTAGCAAAGGCAACTGTCTCAAAAATCATCAATATTGGATCATCATCATCATCATTGACAACATTACATAACTGTACAGGTTACCTTACAGCATCTCACATACAGACCCCAAACACTAAAACCTCATTGGATAACTGACAATCCTCCTCCATTGTCATGACTACAAATCATAACCCTGAATCATCTATGGATATATCAAAGTTTAATTCTGACATGATTTTTAAAAGAGGACTGACACAGCCAACAGGACTGCGTATTTAAATTAAGTGGCAGTCTAGAGATGAGTTCTGGAATCTCATACCTATACAGAGTCAGGGAAATTTTAAATTGAAAGACTAAAAAGGTGGTGAGAGGAGAGTGGACCTACATGAGAAATGTAGGCAGAAGTAAAAAACTGGTGTCAGAGAGCCCTTTCACCTTGTTTCTTCCTGTAAGAGCTAAAGTGTGATATCACAGATAAACAGGTAGGTGATTGGTGGGTATTTCTACTGTGCCTTTCCATTGGTCACTTTGTTTAAGTAAGGAGACATTATTATATCTGGATAGTACAGACAAGAAACATAAAATATTTAACAATGAAATTAATTAATTGGATAGAATAGAGGTGGCTGGCAGGAAATGTGTTGCAGCTGTAGTGAATCTGGAGCTGGTGAATGCCAGTGTGATTCACAGCGACTGCAATTGTAGCAAGTGCTGGTTGCTTAAGGAACTTCAGCTCACAGTTGATGAGCTGGAATCTGCACTATGAACAGTGTGACGCATCAGTGTGACACATTTCCTGCCAGCCACCTCTATTCTATCCAATTAATTAATTTCATTGTTAAATATTTTATGTTTCTTGTCTGTACTCTCCAGATATAATATATTGTATATTGTTTCCAGGAGTCCGTCACGCCCTTTAGATGAATTGCACCAAATTTGGTCTGTGGTCAGGGACATAAAGGATGCGACTGTGGTGAGGCAGGTTTTAGGATTCAGAATTTAGCTCTGGAGGAGTCTCAGCCAATCTCTTGCCTAATAGATACAAGGTTCTTTATTCCAATATGGACGAGGTTACAAAATATAGGGAGGATGAGCAAACTGACCACAGCATTATTCAAGAGGGGGGAAAGGAAAGAAAAATGGAGTAGTTACAGGAAATAGCATAGTTAGGGGAAATAGATGCTGTTGTCTGCAGCAAAGACAGAGAGACCCAAAGGCTTTGTTGCCTAACTGGTACCAAGGTTCAAGACAGCTCTTCTGGGCTGGAAAGGAACAAGATGGTAGGGGAGGGATCCTGATGTCATGGGCCACATAGGTACTAATGATCCAGGCAGCACTCGGAAAGAGGTTCTGCTAAGGGATTATCAGCAGTTTGGGACTAAATTAAAATGTAAAATACAAGGTAATAATTTCCAGATTAATACCCAAATCACATGCAAATTGGCATAGGTTAGATAAGTTTAGAGAGGTAAATATGTAGGAGCAATGGGTTCTGATTCATGGGGCACTAGCAGCTGTACTGGGGAAAGGAACAGCTGATCCTTTGGCATGGGCTTCATTTGAACCATTCTTGATAAGTGTCCTGGTGAATCATATGACTAAGATTACAGAGAAGGTTTCTTTTCAAAATTCCTTCATGGAATGTGAGTCTCACTGACTAGGCTGGTATTTATTGCACCTCCCTAATTACCCAGAGGGCAATTAAGAGTCAAACACATTACTGTGGATCTGAAGTCACAAGTAGGTCAGAATAGGTAAAAATGGCAGTTACTTTCTCTAGAGAACATTAGTGAACCAGGTGGCTTTTCCCAGCAATTGACAGTGGTTTCATTGTAATCACTAGAACTCAATTTCCGATTTTTACTGAATTCAGATTGTACCATCTGCAATGCTGGGATTCAAACCTAGGTCCCTGTATTATTACTTAAGTTCATTGGTAAATCAAAAAGAAACAAGAAAACATAAGTGCAGAATACTGAAAAGGCATATGATAATCAAAATTTGACAGAAAGCAGTAGAAAGTAAGTACAGAAGAGTGCAGCAGAAAATAGGAGAGTAATAATGATTAAAAACTCAAAGCTTAAGGCTCTTTATCTGAACACACGCAGCATTTGTAACAATAAATGATCTGACAACATAAATATGGATATGATTTGATAGATATTACGAAGATGTGGTTACTTTATGTGATAACCCCTACAAGCCCCATGGGGAATCACTAAGTAATTTCCTTATGGAGATTGAGTATGAGTTCCCATGGTAACAGGCAATGGCCTGCCCAGCTGGAACCCATCACCTGACCCTTTAGTGGCACATTGGTGGGGCCCTCTTGTGGTTCAGTGGTAGTGTCCCTACCCTCAGACCAGTAGACCCAGGTTCAAATCCCACCTGCTCCAGAGATGTGAACATCTCTCAACAGTTTGGTTAAGAAAAGTGGTGTATTGGTAGTGTCCGAGGCCTGGATTAAAGTCCCGCCTGCTCCAGAGGTGTGTATTAAGGATTGATTAGAAAATAGGTTAATAATAAAAAAGTGTTGCAGTGGTAGAGTCCCTACCTCTGAGTCAGGACACCCAAGTTCAAGCCCCACCTACTCCAGAGGTATGTAATAACATCACTGAACAGGTTGATGAGAAAAATAGGTTAATAAAAAATAAAATGTTAAATAAAAACAAAAAGAAAATCCTGGTGATTTTGGTCATGGGACAAGTCGCTTACTTCTGGGTATAAAAGAAATAAAAGGCTCTTATATACAGCACTTTATTTCCCCTCCAAATCCACTTTGATTTAGTCAGAAAGCAGGACCAATAGACCAGTTTACTTAACAGTTGTTGGGAAAATACTAGAGTCCATATTAATAAAATTAATAGGAGATCATTTTAATCTAATCAATAAGATCATGGTTTTGTGGAAGGGAATTCATGTTTGACAAATTTGCTAGGGTTTTTTGAGGATATAACAAGCAGAGTTGATAAAAAGGAGCCGGTAGATGTTGTATATTTGGATTTTCAGAAGGCTTTCAACAATGTGACACACAGATGTTACTGGATAAGATAGGTGCTAATGTTATTGGGGTAATAGCATGAATTGAGGGTTGGTTAATAGACAATAGCAGAGAGACGGGATTAATCAGACTTATTCAGGTTGGAAAGACATAATGGGTAAAGTGCCAAGGGCCTCATTTTTTAAACTGTCTATATGAATGACTTGGAGAATGGGGCAGAGTATAATGTATTCAAATTTGAGGTGAGAGGGTACATTATGAGGATATAAGGAATCTGCAAGGAAATATAGATAGGGTGAATTAGAGGGCATAAACTTAGCAGATCGAGTTTAATGTAGTAAAGTGTGAGGTCGTGCACTTTGATAAGAAGAATCAAAAGGCAGACTATTATTTAAGTGGAGAAAGACTCCAAAAAAGTGCAGTGCAGTGGGATCCGGGAGTATGATGGAATATATTGAAAACAACCAATGCTAGAGATCACAGCGGGTCAGATAGCATCCATGGGGAGACAGCTAGCTAACATTCTGAGTCTAGATGACTCTTCATCAGATTAAGTGTGGATGAGACAGCATTTATGCTATAGTTTTGTGGGGGGTGGTGTGGGGGTGTGGGTATGTGATCGAATATGTGGGGAGGGTCTGTTTCCATGCTGTATGACTGTACATCCTAGATGACTGCAGCTCCAACAACACTCAAGAAGCTTGACACCATCCAGGACAGAGCAGTATGCTCGATTGGCATCAGATCCACAAGCATCTAGTCCATCCACCACTAACACTCAGTAGCAGCAATGTGTACCATTTACGGATGCACTGCAGAAATTTGCCAAAGATCCTTCGACAGTATCTTCCAAAAACCAGTGAAATTGTTATAAGAAGGTTACTAATGCCAAGGATGGATATTTTATTGGGGGTTGATTTAGCTGTTAGCACAATGTACACCTCAACCAGAAAAGGACAGCCCAGAGAAACTGAGAAGACTAGAGAAAGCCAGCAGCAACTGGCAGGGAAGATAGGGACCGAAACAAGTTCAGAAGCTATATAGGGAGCAGCAAAACCCATAACGGTTTGAGTGGCCAAAGAAGGGTCAATTGTCTTAAACTTGCAGTAAGTGACAAAGACGCTGGGAACTGAGAGGGATTCAGAACCATACTTGTAAGTTTTAAGATAACCCAAGAATGGTCATTATATTTAATCAGATGAAGTCAGGCCAGATACTTCAGAAAGGTTCAGGAAAGAATTAAAAGGCTGAGAGATAGGCTAATAGCTATAAAAGAAGGCTACAAAGGGGAAAGGAAGGTAACATTACAGGCTAACACCAAAGATCTGCTTAACAGTATCATGGTTACATTTTTTTTAAAGACGCTAGAGAAATTGCCAGATAGGGCCAGAAGAAAGTGAAGATAAAGTTTCATTTAGTGGAAGAGGTGCAGGGTAGTATTCCTTTTAATTTTCTTTCGAGCTGTATGGGTCTTTGAGGTCCATGTGCAGCAGTGACATCTAGAAGCTAAGGGTAGTTTAGAGGGAGTGTTTTTGCATTATTTGGACTAGGATCAAACAAATCTGTGTGATAGCCCCCATGTTACTCACTATAGAAATGTGGTTGACTCTTAACTGCCCTTTGGACAATTAAGGATGGGAAATAAATGTTGGCCATGCCAGCAATACCCGCATGCCAAGGATGAATAAAAATCTACTTGACAGTGGTTATTCACCTTTTCTAAGAACTGTCATCTAATGTCTGCATTAGGTACCATCTAGATGGAAAACTATTTAACCTCAAACTCATCTATGCCAAAACTGAACTGACCACCATAATTATACATGATTCAATGGGACGATCATAAAACAAACGCTAGTGTTCTTTGAAGCGAGCTTCACAAGCATTCAGGCAAAACTGCAAAATCAATTTTAATCAACTTGACATTGTGTCCAGATGGCTAAAAACCATCCCTCTCATAGCGTTCCGTTTTCTCAAATCTCAAACGGCCAATATTGCAGGAGAGGATTTAGAAAATTTTCGAAGGCCCTCTGAGGCTCTCTTTGAAGTGTGGCAACATTGACATTTATGATTGGGAGGAGTATGCAACCAGTCATTCAAAATAGTAATAGCCAGTACTGCCTATGGGCTCAGGTTTAGCATATTTGATAGAAAAATTAGAGGACGGTTGAGGAGAATTTCTTTCTCTCCTTAGGGTGATGCGTGTGATAAAAGTCAGAAAAAAACTTGGATATGCACTTGAAGTGCTGTTACCTATATGACTATTGACCAAGAGCTGAAAAGTGGAATTAGGCTGGATCACTTGGCACAGATGTGATGGCTTGACATCCTACTGGGCCTGAATTTTGTGTGTTTCTACCTAAGTAACGAGCAATTTGTAGTAATATTGTTTTCCTTCCCATCACTTATATTACAGCTAATATTGAACTAACTTTCCTCTACCAGGCCAATCCAACAAAGGGGTTTGGATTTCTACTTACCAGGTGGCAATGATCGAGGTGGTACTGGGGGTGCCATAATCGTGCCCACATGTGCTGTGAGGAATGGTATTGTGTCCCTGGTTCCACTGTCTAAACTCCAGCTACTGGGAGCTGCTGGCACCGCTGAAACACAGTGAAACCAACATCAGTCAACAAGTACCTGAAATAAAGTTTGGTGCAGAAAAATGAAAGGTCATATGCAGTGGAAATAAAAAAAAACTAGTAGCCACATATTCCTGATGGATGGGAAAATACTTGCTGAGGTAGACACTGAAAGAGAGCTAGGAGTCAGCTGGCACATCTTTTAACTATGTTTAACTGTGATGCACAACAAACAAAGCTGACAGGATCCTGAGATACACAACCCAATTCACTGTGATAATGACCTTCCCAGTCCCTGGGAACACCCTGGTTTGATCAAGTTGCACCTACTTGGTACAACAAGCATCATTTCACTATTAGCCACAATGAATGAGGAGAAGCAGCTTGATGAGTTCTTCAACAGAGATACACATGATAATGAATCAGAGGCAGGAAATAAACATGAAACACTACTCTGAAATATATTCTGTAGCGGAAAAGTGGATATGTTCTTTGAGTATACAGGTACTTTCAGAGGCACCAGATGTATTTACATAGGAGGTTGATGAAAATCTCGATGAATGGCAAGGATAATTAAAATCAAAACAATAAAGCAACATCAGAGCAAAACAGTAAAGACAGCAGTATCTGTGTCCACTGCAATAAAAAGGTCCTCCGGCAGTCTTCAGCAGCAGAATGAGTAAGTTCCCAATTTCCTGTAATTCTTGATACAGGGGTCCCGATTTATGAATGGTTGACTTACGAACACCTCATATGCAGTGCAATCCCATACAGGGATGTAATTTTCAAAGATCCAACATACAAATTCTTCCTATACTTAGGAACACCTATTTTATATTGTCTAGCATTGTGTTCCAACTTGCAAGTGGACTTGAGAATGGAACCTATTCGCAACCTGCTGGGCAGATTGTTGTAGGAGGAAGTAGGTTGAGCCTGATTTTGTCCACATTCACATAACATCCAAGCACAGGCATTTTTCAATGGTCCTGGTTTTTGAATAGTGTTGAGGAACAGAAACTTCTGTTCAATGTTCCCTTTAACCCAGAACACCCAGGTCAAATCAGTAACCTTTCTGAGATCTGCCGTAAATGCTCAGTATCACACTAGGCAGTGCAATTAGGCATAGAGTTTTCATTAAATGGTAATATTTAAGTAACTGAAAAATGCTCAAGATTTCCTTCCCTTTTCAAAATTTCAGATCAAAACCACATAATCTCTTTTACTACTCTCTACAATATGAACCTAGATGGTTATATTCTACAGTAAGTGGATAAATTGACATTAGAATTGAAATTAATTTGACTTATTGTCTCAAACAATAATACCTGAGACTCAGCTGTGGTGTTTGAGATAGTGCTGAGCACAAGTCTGGAGTTTTGTGATGATGGGGAGGTAAAATTGAAATAATCAGGCGTCCTGATGTGTTTTTTCAACTACAGATGGCTGGGATCAATAAACCTTTGAGGTGAGGTATCATCCACTATGTGTGAAAGGGGAAAGATTTCACTTTGAGAAGGACATATTGTTGTTTGGATGTAGGGGAGCAGAGAGACGGGCAGAGGGAGGGAGGGAGAGAGAGACAGAGAAAGATCAGCGAGGGTATTGTAATAATATCACTAGACTAGTAATCCAGAAACCCAGGAGAATGCTCTGCAGTCATAGGTTTGAATCCCACCATGGCAAACAGTGAAATTTGAATTCAATAAACAAAAAATCTAAAATTGACAAGCTAGACTAATAACGACCATGTAACTGTTGTCAATTGTGGCAAAAAAAATCTAGTTCACTAATATCCTACAGGAAAGGAAATCTGATGTCCTACATATGAGTCCAGACCCATTTCAACTTGGCTGCTTCTTAAATGCCCCCTGGGCAATTAGGGATGGGTAATAACTACTGGCCCAGCCAAAGACACCCACATGAATGATTAAAAAAACTAGGATGCGATGGAAAAAAATCAGAAATGTGGATATATTGAAAAGTTGTAAATCAATTTAAAATACAGGGGAATAGTGTGTTTGGAAAGATCAGATAAGATAATGTTGCAACCATTTATATGGGAAAACAGGAAAATAAGTGGATAATTCTATGTAGTGAGTTACAAAAATAACTAGTTAGATCAGACTAGTCATAACTAATTAAAAAAAATCTACAACGTGAAAATATCTAGGCGAATGCTAAGTATTTGGTACAAAAGTATAGGCTGCCATAAGGAGGATGGCAATTATATGTTGATGAAAAGACTGTAAGAACAGGGAAGTTATTATAATGGGAGATTTCAATTAACCCAATATAAATAGACAAAGTTGGTATGCACCTTTGCTTCGTGGCCAAGAATGTAAATGAAGCCAGAGGCAGTGTCATTGGTGATTCATAAATTCATAAATGACTCGTAATTCATTCATAAATGATCCAGCCAATGGAAATCAAAGTATCACTGAGAGATGGTACAAAGTTTAACATGACCCTGGATCCAATTACTGCAAAGACCAGTAACTAGATTTATAACTTTTAAAGGAGCTAAACTCAAAGAACTGAGAAATGATTTAAAACAAGTGGTTTGGAGCAAAATGTCCAATAACATGAGCAAAACACATGAAACATCTTTAAAAATATAATGTTGAACATGGAAAAGAGGCACATACATGATTTAATCCAGCTCAAACAAAGTAGTGTGATAAGTGGATCAAAAAGCAAATTAAAAGGGAAATAAAGAGAAAAAAACACTCTGCAAATCTTACAGGGAGAAAAGACAAAGGGCTCATGTTGATGAATGTAGGATCATGAAGTGAAAAGTTAATGAGTGATCACAAAGTGCAAGGAGAGAATATCTCGCCATAGTTTTACCAGACCATAGGGCTGCTTTCTCAGAGATGAGTGGTGATGATTTAACCAAAAGGCCAGCACACCTCAGGTGAGAGGAGATGTTGAGAAAGAGAATCTAAAACTCACACTGTTGGCATCACATTGCTTCACAAACCAACTGTCCAGCCAACTAAGTTAACCAACCCCGCAAAAGAGAAGGTAGTCAAACTGCAGAGGTGGGGGAGGGAATAGATAGTCTAACCGTAGTGGTGGGGAAACCATTGGAAGTAATTCTGAGGGACAGAATTAATCTGCATTCGGAGAGACAGGAATTAATCATGAACAATCAGTATGGTTTTGTGAGAAGGTATATCTGACCAACCTGAGTTTTTCAAAGAGGTGACCAGGTGTGTAAATGAGGACAGTGCTTTTTTACATAATCTCCTTGGACTTCAGTGAGGCTTTTGTTAAGGTCTCACACGGGAGACCGATCACAAAGGTAACAGCCCATGGGATCCTGGAAAATTTGGAAAATTGATCCACAATTGCATAGCAGGAAGCAAAGGGTGATGGTTTAGGGGTGTTTTTTTCAACTTGAAGTCTGTGTCCATTGGGAGTCCCACAGGGTTCAGTGTTGGGATTTGCTGCTTGTGGTTTATATAGATGATTTAAACTTGAATGTAGGAGATTGGTCACTAAGTTCACAGATGGTAGAAAAGTTGGTGGGATGATAAATAGTGAGGAGGAGAGCCTAAGATTACAAGATGACATGCACTGGTCAGATGGCTAGTCTGTGGCAAATGGAATTCAATATGGATTAATATGAGACGATGCACTTGGGCAGGATAGACAAGGCAAGGGAATACATGATGAACAGTAGGAGCCTGCGAAGCACCAAGGATCAGAGGGACCTTGTGTGCATGTACACTGGTTCCTTATGGTATCAGGCCTGGTGTCTAACGTAGTTAAGAAAGCACATGGCATAGAGTTTTAGAGTAGAGAAGTTATGTTGGAACTGATGGAGTTACAGAATCTACATTATAGGAGGGATGTGATAGCACCAGAGAGGGTGGCATCGTTGTGGCACTGGAGGAGGCCCAGGATGGACATGTTGTCCAAGGAGTAGGAGGGGAAATTGAACTGGTTTGCGACTGGGAGGTGTTGTCGTTTGTCACGAACCAAGTGTGGGTGCTCCACAAAGCGATCTCCAAGCCTCTGCTTGGTTTCCCTGATGCACAGGAGGTCACATCGGGAACAGCGGATACAATAGACCACATTAGTGGATGTGCAGGTGAACATCTGTTTAATGTGGAAGGTTTTCTTAGGGCCTGGGATGGAGGTGAGGGGGTGAGGTATAGGGGCAGGTGTAGCACCTCCTGCGGTTGCAGGGAAAAGTGCCGGGATGGTGGGGCTAGTGGGGAGTGTGGAGTGTGGAGTGGACAAGGGAGTCACGGAGAGTGGTCTCTCCGGAAGGCAGATAAGGGTGGGGAGGGAAATATATCCTTGGTAGTGGGGTCAGATTGCAGGTGGTGGAGAATGATGCGTTGAATCCGGAGGCCCATCAACCTTCAGATTCAACGCATCATTCTCCGCCGCCTGCAATCCACAATGATGCCACCCGAAGGCTGGAGGAACAGCACCTCATATTGCGCCTGGGAACCCTGTAGCTCAATGGTCTCAATGTGGACTTTACAAGCTTCAAAATCACCCCAGCCCCAACCTCATCCCAAGACCAGCCCAGCTCGTTGACCTTTCCGTCTTTTCTCCCACCTGTCCACTCCTCCCATCTCACTGACCAACCCCCACCCCCTCTTCCTACCTACTAGCCTCATCCCCGCCTCCATGACCTGTCCGTCATCCCTCCCACCTACCCGCACCTCCCTCCTCACTGACCAATCTCCATCCCAAGTCCCTACCTACACTCATCTGTACTGGCTTTATTCCCGCCTCCTTGACCTGTCCGTCTTCTCTCCACCTAGCTGCTCCTCTATCCACCTTCTAACATCGCCTCCCTCTCTCTATTTATTTCAGAGCCCCCTTCCCCTCCCCCATTTCTGAAGAAGGGTCCAGACCCGAAACGTCAGCTTTCCTGCTCCTCTGATCCTCCTAGCCTGCTGTGTTCATCCAGCTCCACACCTTGTTATCTCAGACTCCAGCATCAGCAGTTCCTACTATCTCTGGACCGAAGGACCTGTTTCCATGCTGTCCAACCCTATGACTTTAAGCCCCTTCCACATTGGAAATGTCAGAGCCAAAACAGATGTACTGTCCGCACAGTTCAGCAATGTCTCCCTAAGATTCTACTCCATGTCATCAAGGAACAGCAGGCATGTTTTTCCCAAGTGATGGCAATAGGACGTCCTCTCACCTGACTAAGTCAACCTGGATGGAGATCTCAAAGGAGCTTAGCAACTGTGGGATCCGTAGAGGAACAAGTACACGAAAAGGCTCAATGATCTTCAATTTGCCTGTGCAAGTGGCACAGTGATGTGGGTTTGTCGATTAAGTGACTTATCTGCTAAACATCTGTGTAAATCAGGACTGCATGGCACTTGAAGTAAAAGTGTGTAACAGTTTAGGTTGAGTCAGCAACTGGATGCACACTAACACATGACAGGCTATATGTGTGATGGGGATATATGTAGACAAGAGGGTTAAGTTGGCATTTGCCAAGTCACTAAATCTCTAGCTACTAGAGAACAAGCAGATGTTTGATCTGAAGGAAAGGGCGAAGGTGGCTAAAATAGTGTCTAGACTCAAATTCTTCATCTTTTCTGATCAAGACTGTAGGAGAACAGAGGGCCTGAGCCATGACCAATTGTGATGCTCAAGTGGCAAGACATCAGAATATGTTAAATGTTAATTCAACCTGATGCTGCCATAATGGGTGTTCAAGACCATGTAAAGAATTGTGCTTATGGACTCTGGAATCTTATCTTCATGTGCTTCTTTTCGTTCTCCTTTACAGGTTTCTGCAAACCCCAAATAAAGCCTCAACCACCCCAGGTGACCTTTGGGGATGATGACATCAGTGACCTAGAGGATGCACTGTCACCTGCCTCGCCAGCACACCTGGAGAATCTGTTCACTGGCATTGCATGTGTGAAGAAAGTTGCTCACACACCCTAGACCCTAAAGGGACAATATTTATAATCAGGGCCACATTCTTATGAGCATATGTAAATATGCCCCACTAACTAAGGGAGTCTGTGATAGCCAGCTCTTGGATATTTAGAGGACTTTTAGAGAACAGCTTTTTACGGAGCCACATGCTGATGTCATGGCCATAACAAGTCTGTAGAAAATGAAGCAGAACTTTGGGGAACATATGGCAGAGATGCCAATGGCAATGCATTGCTTTGTGGTCCATGAAGGAGTCTGTTTATCCATGAGTTCCTCTTTCACAGGCACTAGGTCAAAATCCTTGAATTCCCTCCCTAAGAGAATTTTGGGTCTACCTACAGCATGATTACACTGGTTCAAGAAAGCAGCTCACCACCACCTTCTCAAAGTCAACCAGGAACGGGCAGCAAATGCTGGCCAGCCAGCAACACCCATGACCCATGAGTGAATAAAAAATCTTATGCAGTTTAGTACACAGTTCCCTCCATTGAGAGATTGATGACCATGATGAACAGCAAGTCAAGCAATTAATCCTTATTTGTGCTAACCTGCATTTCATCATTCTAGCCATGGGGACCATCTGGCATTGCCTCGGTGGGATGGGCTTGAGGCACCTAGATCTCCCTCCAGATATTCCTTCTCCTGAGGGAGATATCATTGCATAACCAGATGGAGGAAAAATATATGCTAACAGCCCGAATGGCTTCTCATGGTGCTCACAGGATGAATGGTCTCTTCTCATTTCCACCTGGCATCAACACTATTGCCTCTGGTAGGCACGGCTGAGGAGGTTGCCTCTGCATTTGTGCAGGACGCCCCCAGGAGGTCAGAAACCTCAAGGCTCCAGACCTCAGAGGACACACAGCATCCTGCCTTCACCTCAGCTGCTGCTGTTGGGGTCACACCAAGATGTAGTGCTAGGAAAAGAAAACTTAAACTTTTATGACAGCACATGGTAGCATGGGGTGATTTAAGAAAATGTAAATATCATTTGTGCATTTTTTAAAAAAAATTGGGACTTGCTTAGACACAGACCGACTGGCAGGCCAACACTACTATGCTCAGGACATTGCATAATTACCTTACTTTAGAAAATGATTAACTGAGGGAAAACCTACTTGTATTGGCTGAGATCACATCTAAATTGAATAAATAGGAGTCAAAGGTTGGTTGGAAAAATAATAGTTGAGCAATGAGTTGCCTTTAAAAAAAAAGGGTGTTTCAAGCATTTTCCCTTAAAACGGAAAGGCAATTAAAAAAACAAAATCAGAACCCTAAGGGATGATAGATAGAAACTAAAGAAAAGAAGAAAAAGTGTTATTAGAAAATGTAATTGAAAATCAAGCTAAATATTAGAAATTTCAGAGGGGAGGTGACGAAAACGCAAATAAGAGAAGCAAAGAGAAAATTTGAAAAGAGGTTGGCAACCAATCTAAAATGGAATAACAATGTCTTCTATAGGCTTCAAAACAGTAAATCAGTGGTAAAAAGAGGAGTAGGGAGAATTAGGGAACAGTAAGGGGATTAAGAGGGTAGAGGGCATAGCTGAGATTTCAAATGAATATTTTGTATCTGTTTTTACCAAGGAAGAAAACGCTACCCCAGCCATTGAGAAAGAGGAGGTAATTCAGACACTAGAAGAATGGAGAAGAGTCACATCAGACTCAAAATGCTTTTATTTTCTCCACAGATGCTGTGTTTCTTCAGCATTTTCTATGTTTCAGATTTCCAGCATCCACAGTAATTTACTAGAAGGGCTTAAAATTGATAAGGAAGAGGTAATAGACTGTACTTTAATTTGATCAAGACCAAATGACTTGCATCTGATGGTACTGTGGCAAGTGAGAGTGGACATAATTTTTAAACTTTCTTTAGACTTTGGGGTGATGCAAGAAGGCTGAAGAATTGCAAATATTTCGCCCATGTTCAAAAAAAAGCTGTAAAGATAAGACTAACAACTGTAGGACAGTTGGTTTAAACAATCCTTTATTCATTCACGGGATGAGAGTGTCGACGGCTAGGCAGCATTTATTGCCCATCCCTAATTGCCCAGGGGGCAGTTAGGAGTCCACCATATTGCTGTGGATCTGAAGTCACATGTAGGTCAGATCAGGATAGGATGGCAGTTTCCTTCCCTAAAGGACATTAGTGAACCAGATGGGTTTTTCAGACAATTGGCAATGGATTCATGGTCATCATCATTAGATTCTTAATTCCAGATATTTATTGAATTCAAATTCCACCATCTGCCGTGGCGGGATTCAAACCCAGGTCCCCAGAACGTTACCTGGGGGTCTCTGGATTAACAGTCCAGCAATAATACCACTAGGCCATCGCCTCCCTGACAAAATTAATAGTGGGCAAATGTGGATTAACTAAAGAAAGCCAACAAGAATTTCTTAAGGAAAAACCATACTTCATTAACTTGCTGAAGTTAAATTGAAGCATTCAAAGGGAATTAGACTATTATATGAAAAAGAAGAATATACACAGTTACAGGAAGAAGGCAGGAAAATGAAGTTAAGTGAATTGCTCATTTGGAGAAGTTACACAAACATAATTGGCAAAATGGCCTCCTTCTGTGATGTAACAATTCTTTGATTTTGTGATACCTTTTCCTGTAAAGAGAAAGGCTTCTCTGACCTATCTCCCTAAACTGGTCAAATCTGCCAGGATAGGCAAATTGAGTTAAAATTCTCCTATTAGTAGTTCAGCATATGTCCACCTCACATTCCCCAAGTGTGTCAGTTGACACTGCCAACTTACATGGTCTCACCTTTGCTTCCCAGCATCAGCACAAACACACTCAATTCCATACAATGTTAAGTTTCCTCTTCACTGTCCCATCAAAGACTAATACAGTACCAGGTTTAATATTTCACAGATTTAGTGTGCATTCTTTTCCAGCTCCCTTTAATCTGCCAGACTTCAGATAGTGTTTTCTATTGCACTGAACATATTTCCATTTCCTAATCCAGCCATCCTGTGGCCCCGAAGCTATTCAGTGCCAACTCAGGGCTGGGTTTGTGTCATATGACTATGCCAACTTGGAACTGAGTTAGATTGCCAAAGACATTCAAGTAGAATGCTCCTATGTGAAAGTGCATGAAATGCTGAGAGTTTAACACAATACACTATTCAGTTTCACAGCTCATTCACATGTTTAAAAAACTACTAAAGTTGTCATTGTTAATTGATATGACGTGTGGACCTTTATGGTCCAAAGGGAGAAATGAATAATCCTTTGCTCCACCGATTGTTAATGATTAAATCGATCCTTACCCTTTTCAGCGACAGAGAGATTAGGGTCACTGCATGGTTTGCAAGGTCCAACCACCTGTTGAATCAGGGCCCGCTGGAAACTAGAAGGCTGTAATGACAATGTAACATCAACATGAACACACGTCAGCATATTATAGTGTTTATAACAAGAGACAGAACACTATGTACCCCGGTGGCTGTTTAAGGCGTGGAACTTGAAATGTCCAGCCCACTTCACTTCCATCAGTGAGCTCTCTTTTAGCAATTTTACCTAATAGTGCTATCATTAAAACCAGGACAGATTTCAGCCGTACTGTTCCATGGTAAGTGCAGCTGAGGAGCATTCAGTACATCTATACAAGAACCATCCCTAAGGCCATTGTGTATCAACGTACAGCACATGGACCGCAGCAGTTCAAGAAGCAGCTCACCACCACCTTCTCAAGGGCACTTAGGTACAAGCTATAAATGCTGGCCAGCCAACAATGCCCAGGTCTCTTCAGTGACAAAACAAACCCCAGCACTGAGAGTAATGATTAAGGCTCACCCATTTGTCCTGGCAGTTGGCGACTGAACATTGAGCCTGCCCTACCTGTACAGTCAGTAATGTACTTCCTGATCTTCTGGTATTGGGAGTGTTGAACATTAAGCATTCTCAAGGACCATGCCAATTGTCTTTTGCTAAAGACCAGGCACAAATGACTTTCATGCTTTGTGGTCAGGTGACAGTAAATTAATATTAGTGGAAGGTAATGGCGTACTGGTATTTAAACTGTATCAGGACAAGGTTATCTCGACGCATTGTGTGAAGGCATGTATGTTTTATACAGTTTATTATTATTTGGGTGACTTCAGCCTGCATTTAAAAATCCTAAAATCCCTTCACCTTCTCGTCTTCACTCAATCACCCCTACATAAGCATCCTTCCCATATCCATGGCTATAATAAAAACAAAGTACTGCAAATGATGGCAAAATGAAAAAAAAACTGGAACACTCAGAAGGTTTGGTAGCATTTGTGAGTTAACATTCAGAAATCAATATGCCTTTATTCCGAACAAGTCACATTGAACTCAAAGCATTAACTCTTTTTTTCTCTCCACAGATGCTACCAGGACTGCTTAGTTTTTCCAGGACTTTGTTTTATTCCATATCTATGGCTGTTGTCTGGTCATTCTGGTGGCCTCTCCACTTCTGAGATTTATGTTATCTTTTAGGCCAAATCTCATCACTTCATATCTCCTATGACAAGGGGAAATGGTGGTGTCATGATAACATCACTGCACTAGTAATCCAGAACGTGAGGCTAATGTTCTCAGGACAGGGGATCAAATTCCACCGTGGTGTGAAATTTTAATTAAAGAAAACTGGAATAAAGAGCTAGCTGATTGTTGACCATATAACCATTGTCGATTGTCATAAAAATTCATCTGATTGACTAATGTCCTTTAGAGAAAGAAATCTGCTGTCCTTATTTGGTCTGGCCTTCACACAATGCGTCAAGATAACCTTGTCCTGATACAGTTTAAATACCAGTACACCATTACCTTCCACTAATATTAATTTACTGTTACCTGACCACAGAGCATGACCCAAATGACTCCAGACCCACAGTAATGTGGTTGACTCTTAACTGCCCTCTGAGCAATAAATATTGGCTAGTCAGCAATGCGTTCATCTATGAACAAATAAAATTTTTAAAAACTTTTGTGCATCAACAAAATTCCCCTTAAAGACTTTCATGAATTCATTAACAATCTCATAAATTCTTAAGATATAGGGACAGAATTAGGCCATTCAGCTTATTGAAGTTTGTTCTGCCATTCGATCACGACCGATACGCTCCTCACCGTCATTTTCCTGCCTTCCCCCCGCAACCCTTCAACCAATAACCAATTAAAAATCTGTCTAAATCCTCAAATTTGCTCACTGTCCCACAATCCACTGAACTTTGGGATAGCGAATTCCATAGATTCACAACACTTTGGGAGAAGTAGTTTCTCCTCAACTCTCTTTTAAATTTGCTATCCCTTATCCTAAGACTATGACTGCCCCACAAGAGGAAACATCCACTCCATGTCTATTTTATTTTTACCTTTTATCATCTTGATTACTTCAATTTGATCTCCCTTCATTCTTCTAAATGCCAGAGAGTATAGGCCTAAACTGTTCAATTTCTCTTCATTTGACAATCCCTGGTATCAATCCAGTGAACCTCCTCTGAACTGCCTCCAATGCCACTACATCTTTCCTCAAATAACGTGACTAAAACTGTGCACAATACTCCAGGTGCAGTTTCACCAATGCCCTGTATAGTTGCAACAATACTTCCTTATCTTTCTATTCTATTTCTTTAGCTATAAAAGCCAACATTCCATTCACTTTCTTCATTATCTGCTGTACCTGCATACTAGTTTTCTGTGACCCATGAACGAGGCCACCCAGATGCCTCTGCACCGGAGCACTCTGAAGTCTCTCCCCATTTAAATATTAGATCACCTTCCCATTTTTCCGACCAAAATGTTTGACCTCTTATCCACGTTAAACTCCATCTTCCATAGTTTGGCCCACTCTCCTAACCTATCTATATCCATTTGTAAGGTTCTTATTTCCTCATTGCAATTGACCGTCCTGCTTATTTTTGTGTTGTCCGCAGATCTGGCTATAAAACCTTCTATCCCTGTATTGGAGTCCTTAATGTAGATTGTAAATAGCTGGGGTCCAAGGACCGAACCTGTACACCTCACTAGTTACTTCTTGCCATCCAGAAAAAAACCCCATTAATCCCAACTCTGTCTTCTTTCCATCCACTAATCACCTAGCCAAGCTAATAAATTACCCCAATCCCATATGATCCAACCTTGTGAATTAACCTTTTGTGTGGCACCTTATCAAACGCCTTCTGGAAGCCCAGGTATATTACATCTACAGGATCCACCCCCCCATCATCCACTTTGTTTGTTAACATCTTTGAAGAACTTGAGAAAATTAGTCAAACATGATTTGCCCTTCATAAAATCATGCTGACTCTGATGGATAGTGTTTTGACTTTCCAAACGTCATAATATTGCTTCCTTGATAATTGATTCTAACACTTTGCCAACAACAGATGGTAATAACTGGTCTGTGATTTCCCACATACTGCCTCCCTCCCTTTTTGAATAAGGGTGTTATATTCGCATTTTCCAATCCAATGGAACCTATCCCATGTCCAGGGAATTTTGGAATATTGTAACCAATGGATCCACTATCTCTGCCACCAATTCTTTTAATACCCTAGGATGTAGGCCATTAGGCCTGAGGGACTTGTCTGCCCTCAATCCTAATAGCTTGCTGAGTACCTTTTCCCTATCGATGTTGATTGTTCGAAGTTCTACCATTTCTATTGCCTCTAACTTGCCTGTTCCAATAGGAATGGTACTATTGTCCTCTACCGTGAAAACTGAGGCAACATATTGATTTAGCATCTCTGTCATTTCAGTCGTTGCCACTATTAACTCTCCAGTTTCATCTTCCAAGGGACCAACATTCACCTTAGCGACTCTCTTCCCTTTTATATACCTATAGAAGCTTTTACCATCCTTTTTGATATTTTGTGCTAGTTTTCTTTTGTAATTTACCTTAGCTCTTTTTATTAATTTTTTAGTATCCTTTTGTTTATGCTTGTAAGTTTCCCAATCCTTCTGCCTGCCACTGGCCTTTGCAATATGGTGTACCTTAGTTTTTGACTTTTTATTGTCCTTGACCTCCTTGTTTAGCATAACTCCCTGTCCTTTGGCCCTCAAGATAGCTCTTTCACCAGGGACCTGTCAAGTTCCTCTCTCTCCTCTAGTTTTGACAGTCCCATTTTCACTAAATTTTGGCTATTTTGAACTTCCGCTGATTCTCCTGGGTGGTCACACCTTTGCATCAATGGTTACAACTACTGAGCTCATTAGATCTAATTTAACCATGAGTGGCATACCTCATTTTCATCATCATCATAGAATCCCCACAGTGCGGAAGCAGGCCATTCAGCCCATCAAGTTCACACTGACCCTCCAAAGATCATCCCACACAGACCCACCCCATCCCTGTAACCCTGCATTTTCCCATTGGCTAATCCACCTAGCCTGCACATCCCTGGACACTATTGGCAATTTAGCATGGCCAATCCATCTAACCTGCACATCTTTGTAACTGAAAACCTCTATGATACTAGGATAACCATCAAAGGCGAGGACAACCCTTGCCTTCAAACCCACTTCTTTTGCTCAATCGTCCTTCACCTGTAATATGAAGTGAGAAGTGTTCATTGATTTCTTTATTTTAGTATTGAGAATTATTACTGTAAGACATTTCTCCTCTTCGTCTCCCTGACCTTGTGCCAGTTTGCTGACCACTGACTCCTATCAATCAACTTACACTAATCTGCTTCATGCTTCCATCTGCAAGACCTGTTCCTGTTCTTCCAAGACAGTACACACACAGAAAATATTTATAGCTTCGTAAGGTCAGGGACCAATCATATCCATTTTAAAGGTACGACACAACCCCTTCCACTTCTGAAAATCTACACAACCCATCCATGCGTTTCGTCTCATGGTTCCTCAAATTTGTTACAGAGTTCAATACTTTCTGCTCAGATCCCTCTAATCTGAATCCTTTGATTCAGTAATTGTTCTGTATTTTCCCATCTCATCTTCCTCTCCACATTATATAGTATGGTTTACCACACCGTCTATTCTCTTGATTTTCCTCTACTGATTATCTCTATGGGTTACCCTCAGATAGCTGCACGGTAAACTATCCCTATCCACCCTCCATCATTGCATCCATAGTCTCTCAGGTATCTATTCTTGATTCTTTTGTAATATCACCTACAAGCACAGGGCTCAGTTTCCATACGAATGCCAATGGGACCTCTCCATTACCTCCTTTGATTTCACGACCACCAGAAATCTGTCTGGTACAATGTTTTCAACTGAACATTGAGAAGACCATAGCCATAAATTCTAATCTTTTGTCTAGACAATTTTAAAATGTGGCTGCTTTGAACATGCTTTTAGCCAATACTCCTCACATCTCTTGCAACATTTAGCACCTGTTCCTATGGTTATTTTCATTATGATGGTCTCTTTCTTGATATGTAAAAGTGAAATTTCTTTTGGAATGAGGTGAAGCCTTACTCTATAATACTGGATAAGATTTCAGCTCAGTTTTCCTATATTCTTCTGGGTTTTACTAGAACAACTTTATAAATGTCAAGTGATAAAATGACAGATGTAAGCTCTATCTAGGTTCTATCTCAATCAATCATCGCAATGTCAGATAGCTAGGGACTTTGATGCTTAATTGTTACACATGTCTATGGAATGAATCTTCCAGTAACTCACCGGTCCATTTTCCATCATGGTTGGATACAGGGCACTACTTGGCCTGTCCCTGTGAGGAGGCAGCAACATCATAACCTCCCGTGAATGACGGTATTTATCGGACAATGATGGGGAACCTGAGGATAGGCAGAAAGAAGGTGAGGGACTGGTGGAAAAAGACAAGAAAATAGAAAAAGGAAATAGATAAGGAAGAGAGAATATTGAAGAAAGAATATGGAAACAAAGGAATGAAAAGAAGAGGGAAAAGGAGAGAGAGAGAAAGGGCAAGAGAAATAATACAGAGCCGGTAAAAGTGAAAATAACAGAGAAAAGAAGCAAATGTGCAAAATTGATAGAGAAAGGGAGAGAGGTAGAGTGTTAGCAAAAAGGAAGTAGAGAGAAGTACAAAAGGATAGCATGAATTAGTTAACAAAAAAAAACTAGAGTAGGGAAAAAGAACATGAAACGATCGAGATAAATGAGAGAGTGCATTCATTCAGAATCATAGGACAGATCTGAACATCCCAATTCCATAAAAGTGACAATGGGAAGTTACATATTAAGTTAAGTATTAAGGTCACATTTTCCAACATTTAATTTTTAACACCCAAAATGCACTCCCATTGGTAGGATGGTTTAATATTGAACATTAATTAGTGACTTTTTGTATTTTTAAAAAGTATTCCTGATCTCAGAATAGAATAAAGGATTGGAACTGGAATGAAGCTGGCAAAGAGTCCACAGGAAGAGGGGAGAAAAAGTGTCAGCTAATCCAAAATCATTGGTGTACATTAACATTTTACACTAAAACCAATGTGTTAGCATATGGACAGGCAGTTGCAGACACAATCCTTCACCTCAACGCAATGTCTGAAGAGCTCACTCATGTTTCAGCACAACAATAATGTTAATGTTTTCTGAAGAAGGGTCTAGGCCTGAAACGTCAGCCTTCCTGCTCCTCTGATTCTGCTTGGCCTGCTGTGTTCATCCAGCTCTACACCTTGTTATCTCTAATAATGTTAATGCACTGGTCAAAGACAAGACTTCTTCCAATCAGCATCTATTAACCAAAATTATTGTTGCCAGCCCACTGCTGGTTCCAAAATGTTTCCACGTTAATATCTTTGAAACGTAATTCAGAACTGACTTACATAAGTGTTCCATTTAACACACATCTTTCATAGCCTCGAAATCATACTTCATTACAGATGAAAATAATCTTGAAATAGAGGAAAGCCAATTATTTTTTGCTGAGTTTTCTGATCTGGAAATTGAATTATGAAGGAATGACAACTGCCCTCAATTGTCCTCAAAGTTTATGGCAAGCTGCAGGTACTCGGAGTTTTTCATTTAGATGCCTTCCGCACAAGCAGCTTACAGCAGTGGACAGAGATAATCAGGTTAAATATGGGTTAGCAATAAAGCATCAAAACTGTTCTGCAGACTACCTGCCAGCAATTTCAAGACATAGGCAGAGTAAAGATTGGGTGTTTTTTTAAACTCCAACATCTCAACCTTAAATCCCAAGATTGTACCTTAATGTCAATGCATCTTCTGATTTGGTCTATTCCTTTAATTTCAAAATACAGTATGAAAAACTGACCTCTGTCAAAGGCAATGACCTCATTGTGCATTGTTTTGTAGGTGTTTGATAGCAAAGCTGATATTTGGGAGAGATTTGCAGCTCAGCTGCAAGTTGACTCTGAAAATTAATCCCAAGTAAAAGAGGTTCTTACCTCGAGCACTAGACGGGGCTGAGTTGATCATCTGTGAGGGTGCAGAGTGTGTGGAACTCAGGCTGGAGGTGGATGGACTTGCCTGGCATGACGACAAAACAAAGACATTGGTGATGGAGCTCTGGAAATTGGGTTTAGCATAAGCAAGCTGCACAAAGCAGAGAGAGAAAGTAGCAGAAAGAAAGAGCACATGCTGGGAAACCCAATGGGAACAAAATAGCAACAGATTAATAGATGGACTTGTAGAGGGAATAGATGGTTCTGACACTCATCATGAATGTCAGATACATCTCTTAAATATCAGAGAATTCATATCAATTGTCAAAAACTATCTATCAACAAAATGAAGAAGAATATTAATTTCGCCCAGTCCCCAATTTTGTCCCCATCACTTCAGAAGATCCTGACCTTTGATGGGGTACATCTTTTGATACATATGTGTCATTCCTTGTAAATCATCCAAGTGGGTGTGCATGACCTTAGATGACAGGCTATTCAACCATCGAAGTCATCACAATTCCTCATCCAATATTAATATCCATATGCTTCCCAGCAGGTGCCACTGATGGAGATTAGCATTGTGAATTTTGGTTAAATTTTTCCATCCCTAACCTAGGAACACTGAGGTTCACTGCAATGTTCATACTATCTGAGATAGCTGACTTTACATAGACTGTAAACAGGCAAGTGAGGGAAAAAGTGATTTTTTTACTTAGGCTCTTTCATCTGTTTATCAAAAAACATACCACAGAATAAATTGTGGTAAAGTGTTTTCCTATAGCTTGCACAACAACATCATGATGGGAATGATCCATATTTTCCTCTATGTACTTAAAATAGGCATGTTTGAACCACTTAAAGAATTATCAACACAACAATGAGATTTGTTTTGGTTTATAGATACAATGTATTGTTTCCAAGATTGGCAATTTTTATGACAATTGCTAAACAGTGTTTTATTCAAACATATTTGTATTTCACTTTAGTCATGATAGCCAGACTAATGAAGTATCCCTAGCTCCTTTTAAACAGGCATAAAATTTCCACCTACTCAGAAGATAACTGTTTTACTGTCAATTATATAACACTTTAACTGTGGGGCCTCTGCAAACAACAGTTTAAGTCACAGTTCCTATAAATAATATTTTGCTGCAGTCTTTATTATTGTGTGAGCCATGCTGGGATTTGCTCAGTTAATGCTTCTCCTTAGTACAGATCTTGTGGCTATGTTATGGCTCTCATTAAGGCTTAGCTTTGCTGCTGCTCTTGTTGAGGTATCCTTAATTACTTTTGTCATTTGGATTTTGCTTTTACTGTCGTCATTGGGATTTAACTTATTTTATTATCTCTTGTTGGAATTTCACTCCTGTTAATGTCTCCATTGGGATTTAAATCCTCATGCTATTTTGATTGTACCATATGTAGCAGGTGCTCAGGAAAAGCTGCTTAATTTCCAGTTCTCACACCTAGATCTATGATTGCGATAACCCTTTACACATCAGCTCATTGTATAGAGCTGGGCTACCATGGACAGGTGTTTCCCAATACAAAAGGAGCACAATCAATCTCAGCCACTCTCTTTAGCTTCATTTAAAGATTCACAACACTGTTAAAGGCTCAGCACTTGCACTCAGCACTTCCACTCTAAATGCCCAGAGACAGTATATAACAAAGGAAAACAAAAACAGGAACTGCCATACCTGCATGCGGAATGGGTCATCAGGGGTTTCTCCAACAAGACCATCTGTGAGGATGACAAGGTTTCCAACCTCACTGGATGTCTGTGAGGATAGTGAAGATGAGGAATGTCTATTGGAGCCAAGCAAGTTCAATGGGCTGAGGAAATGAATAAGATAGAATAATTTTTATATTCAGCTAGTCCAGTCTCAACATTCACAATGTGACTGCCCCTCATCCTAAGCAAGAATCTCATACCTGATCTAACCACAGACCTAACATGGATATTATCCTATCATTTTAATCTTTTCAAAGAAATCTCTACATATGCTACATGACACTCAAAAAGGCATCAATCTGGCAATACTGGTCGCTTTCATGCCTCTGGTGTGTTCAAGACCGCTATAGGCTCAATGAGGAAGTATTCCATTGTTGAAGATGTTGTTTTCATATTCTGGTCAGCATTCTTCTGAAACCTGACCCTTCCGTATTATTATTTGCATAAACCAGGTTTTACTTTCACCATACTACAGCCACTGCTCCTCAAAGTCATTCATAAATTAGGTGCTTTGACTATTTAAGGCTTTACATAAATTATAATGCAAATACTGTGGATACCGAAAATCTGATATTAAAAACAGAAAATTCCATAAACATGCAGGCGTGTAATAACATCTCTGAACAGGTTGATTAGAAAATATCTAAAGTGGTCTATAGTGGCCTAAGCATAAATCAAAACAATTTTGAATATCAGCCCGTCTGTAGCAATTCTTTGTTCAAAATGTATGAGAAACCAATGACACAGATTAGAAACAGCCAGGGATCCAATGCAACAAAATCATGATGGTACAAAATTACATCAATTATACAAATTAGGTCATCAGCTGAGCTCATCAGAACAGCAATCCTGGCCCTGTCTCACTTACCTGTGTCTATGCACAAGCTTTATAGCCTCTGGACTCATGGGATTATGACTGGACATGAGACTGCCACGTGGAGTGCTGGAACCAGAGCAAGCAGGACTGATCTTGTCCATTCCAGGAAGATCCTACATAAAATGATAGAATCCTCAGTGAGCTCTAAATTTCTGTGTTACTGGTATCATAAAGTTCCTGTTACTGAAATGTATTCATATAAGTGAGTGATATTAGACTGTAAGTCAAAGGACCAGAAGGAAACCATTCAGTGGGTCTGATGGAGATTGCATAGATAGTAAGGATGCAGGCCATAGAGAGATTGAAAACAGAGAATTTTAAAATCTAGGTTTGCTAATTGAGAAGCTAATATAGGTCTGTGATAGTAGTGTGATGGGTCAATGGAACTGGTGAGAGGAAAAGGCAACAGAGTTTTTGATAATTTTAACCACATGCAGGGTAGAACATGGGATGCTGGCCAGGTATGCACGGGAATAGCCAAGTCCAGAAGGAAAAAGCAAAAAAGACTTGCATTTATGTAGTGGTTTCCCAACCATTGTATGTCTCAAACTATCTTACATACAATGAAGTACTTTTGGAGTGTTGTCACTATTGTGACGCAGAAAACACTAACATTTCATGTCTTTATTACTGCTAGTGTTGATCTCTGTCTCTCTCTGTACCTTCTCTGCAGCTGTTACACTGTTCTGCACTGTTTTGCTACCTGAAGCATTTTGTATGGTACGATCTGCCTGTACAGCATGCAAAACAACACTTTTCACTGTATCTAGGTACATGTGACAACAATAAATCAAATCAGATCAAATCAACATGAATGAAGGTTCAGTAACGATGAGTTGAAGCATGGCAGAATTGTGTGAAAATACAGAGGTAGAAACAGATGATCTTAGTAATGGCATAGGGATACAGTCGGAATTTCATCTCATCGTCAAATCCGACACCAAGAATGCAAAATGTCTGGTTCAGCTTCAGACAGTTGTCAGGGAAAGGACTGGGATTTCAAATGGACTCTCCCGACTAAATTCCTTTCTATATTAAACTGATCTGTGCATGTCTTTCAAAATGCAACAGAAACTAAAATTAATTCTGTAGACTTTACCAGCCAGAGATGAATGAACAATAATGGAATGCTAAAACTTTTTATGCTTCCTATTTGGTGCTGTGAACAACTATATTAACCCCATTGTAGGTCTGGTTGAGAATGACACAGGCTAGGGAATAAATCTAGGCACTTTCTGGACTCAGTAAGACACTAGAGCTTTCAGTGAAACTTAAAGACCCCTCACACACTGCAGTAATCCACAAACACATGAGGGTGATGATAGAAAACCACTTCCATGAGGTACTGACACAAGAGCCTCACAGTTCACTTGTTTTTCCAGATTGCCACAAATGAATACAATTATCTGTATGAAACATAAACATAATGGAAATAATCTGTCACCTTTAGTTATATCTGAAACTCATTCATTAAGCGAGTAAACTGCACACAAATAATTGTCATTGAAACACCCCTTTGCTGAGTCTGTATGGTTCTCTTATTAGTAGGAATACTTTCAGACTTCTAAAGCCATACTTCTGACTAGCCAGGATGTGTAAACTGTATATAATGTAGTGTAGTCTTTTTAAAATACAATGCATTAATTTGGAATGATATATTAACTGCTGGTTTCAGTTGAATTTCTTTCGTGCAGCATTTTTACCAATGATCAACCATCAACAATCACCGTGTGCGGCACAGTAGCTCAGTGATTAGCACTGCTGCCTCGTAGTGCCAGGAACCTGGGTTTGCTCCCACATTCGGGCAACTGTCTGTGTGGAGTTTGCACGTTATCCCCATGTCTGTGAGAGTTTCATTCAGGTGCTCTGGCATTCTCCCATGGTCCAAAGATGTGCAAAAATAGGTGGCTTGGCCATGCTAAATTGCCCATTGTGTCCAGGGAATGTGTAGGTTAGCTGGATTAGCCATGGCATATGCAGAGCGCAGGGATAGGGTAGGGAGGTGGGTCTGGGTGGGATACTCTTCAGAGGGTCAGTGTGGACTCGATGGGCCAAATGGCCTGCTTCCACACTGTAGGGATTCTAAGATCTTGTGCTATCACTGGATGACCTTGCTTAGATAACCAAGGAATTGCTAGTGGTTTTGTGGATCCAAGTCCAAAGCACATTCCTATTGAGATTACCCCCTAATACGCGCAAAGAGTCAATGAAGCTAACCTTGATATGAATGTCAATAAATCTTAATGCAGCTGCTCAGAGCAATATGTGTTCACCTTTGAAATCAGGATTCTGGTCTAACCCAGACCAAAGAGATTGAAGTCTCTTTTCCATGGTAATTGTGGGGACCCACATGAAATCAGCTTGAGTAGGTATAGATCCAAAGAACAAAAACATTTGGCACCAAATGTGGAAAGCTACTCAGAAAACCATAGCGTGTTTAGTAAAGAAAATGGAAGTTAGGGATAAGCTATTTGGTTCGGACAGAGTTTCTAAAGATTAATTCATATGATGTGTGGGTCACCAGCAAAAATGAGCACATTGAGTGCTCATTCTTTGTTTCCCTTCGAGATGGTGGTAGTGGGTCCCATTATTGGACACTTCCTGTAGTGAATCTGTTTGTATGTACTCATGTTGAGGGTGCCAAGACTCTGACTCGGTGATAACAAAGGAATTGTGATTATGTATGAAAATCAGGATGGTATGTGATGATTAATGTTTCCATGAATCCTGTTGCCCTGTCCGTTGAGGTCTTGGGAGTTTACTGGTTTGGGAGGTGCTGTTGCCTTGGTGAGTTTCTACTATGCATCCTGTAGATGTTACATCTTGCATTAGAAGAAACTTTACCATACATCTAATTGTGCTGCGCATGTCACAAGGGAATTGCAGCACTGTGGTAACATTACTGGACTAACATTCTGAAAACCAGGATTAATATCTTGAAGACACAAGTTGAAATCCTACCACAGCAGCTTCAACTTATTCTGTCTTAAAAAAAAACTGGTGGATTATTGCCCACTGGGAAGGAAATCTGTTACCCTTACCCAGGCTGGTCCGCATATGACTCCAGACCCAGTTGACTCTCAATTCCCTCTGAAATGACTGCTCAGTTGTACCAAGTTGTGACAGAGAGGTCAAATAAGAATAAAACAGGACTGATCACCTGGCATCAACCTAAGCACCAGTAGTGGCAAAGCTACACGCATTGTAATCCTCAGTAATATCTATTTCCAAAATTGGAAGAGCGATACCTTCAGTCAAAGGACCCAGATTTCTCCATAACTATCTCAGGTACATTTTGTCACATGAGACCACTAGATGCAATAGCAGAGTGGCATAAGGTCTGACGAGAGCGGCCCTAGGGGTCTTCAACTTCAACCTTGTGGCATTAGATCAAACATGGGCAAAGAAACCTTCTGTTGATTACCATCATTCCCTCAGCTATCGGGTTTGTACTCCTGCATGTTGCGCACCCCTAGGGAAAGGCACTCAGGGCACAGGATGCATTCTGGGTGGTGTATTCCAATGTCCATCACTCAGAAGGCTCAGTAGCACTATTACTCCATTACTCACTGAACTGCCTGTATCCTGAAAGACAAATTTAGCAGTCTGAACTTGGAGTAGTTGGTGAGAGAATCACAGGAGGGTAGACTCACTTTATCTAGCCTTCACCAATATACCTGTCACAGAATCATCTGTCCATATGCGCTTTGGGAAGATTGACCGTCACAATTCCACCTTCACACTGAGGATATTCTCCATTATGTTGTGTGGTACAACTACATGCTAAATGGGATGGATACAGATTTAGAAGCTCAAAACTGGTCATCCATGAGGCACTGTAGGCCATCAGCAG